CATAGTTGTAATGGAAACATACAGGAAAAACAAAACCAGGAGAGCACCAAAAAATTGAAGGTGATGTGCTATGCAGACATACACAGCAAGCAACCAGAAAAACAGAGAATTAATTTCCTACGTGGGAAAGGGATTGATCAGGTCATGGATAACTTAGGCACCGGACTTCAAATGTAAAACCTCTCTTTTTCATTTTTTGGAAAATGCTGCTGGGATTGGAGGGCAGGAAGTAGGGAGGAATGGAAGACAGAAGCGGGCTGCTGAGGTGTTTTAATGGATTCCTAAACATATCAGCCCAGTGACAAGCATTATCCCTGTATGTGTATGAACAAAATAGGTACACTGAGGCCAAAAATGGTGTAAATATTGTTACAAACATCTGTCCCTTGGAAGAATTACCTATAATTAACCAGAAACAATACACTCTCTTATTTATACTGGGTTTTCCTCTTCTTTTTACACATTTTGCTTTAAACCCATGCCATGGGCATTTTCTAAAACCCCCAGCAAAGTGAATAAGGAAGATTTAGTTCTTTCTGTTCTTTGTTTCATTATTTCTTTAAATTGCTTTCTCCACCTTGACATTTTTCTCTCCCTCTCGGGTGATCCCAGAGGTAAGATTTATGTTTACAGCTGATGGTTTATGATTAAGACATTGAACTTTGGTCACGGAATTAGTACTGTCTCTAGGTTCAGAAATCCGGCAGCCAGGCACGAACCCCCGGGGGACCTTCCATAACCAGGGTGCCGACTGGCGACGAGTCCGGGCTGTAACCCTTAAGCAGTAGCATCCCCCAGTGGCCCTGGTTATCACTGCAGTGCAGTTTTGGGGATATTTTTCGGCTCTCCAGCTGTCAATGTAAATACAAATTCAATTCAAGTATCTTAGAACTAGCCAGTACACAGAAGTCTGTTGAGCTCAGTAAAGAAGCAAATATATTTGATAAAAAAAATATTTCCAGTCATTGCATATACCACATGTGTATTGCAAAACACATAGCTGTAAATACAGGGTTTTTTTCTAAATGCATTCAAAAAGGGGGAAAAAATCAGACCAAAAGAAAGTCAGACTCTTTACTGGAAATCCTTCTTGAAGAAGAGAAAATAGGTTTAGAGTTTGTTCCAAGAATATTAAGTTCTACAGCTTTTTTTGGCTTTTTTACAAGATCATGATTCAAGAAAAGGATACTATAGCAACCATCAATTTTTAATCTGCCTTTTATCGAAGCTCACATACTTAGAAAACACAGACCATCATATATATTGAATTAGAATTCTAAATCAAAAATTCCTGGCTCATATTTCATTAACCCAATGAAAATTCAATCATGTTCTCAGAAAAAAACCAAGAACACACCAGCCACTCTTCTTAAACTCAGCCCTTTGCAGAACAATCCAAAATTGTACTCACTGGGATTGCTTTCCCTGTTCCCCACACGAACCCAGTCACTGACAAAAGGTGAAGTAATGGGCTACTACAAAATATTATTGGAAGGGATGGAGAATAGGAGGAGGTAGAAGGGCAGACAAATGATGCACAGATAACACAAATATGGGGTGCTTGCACCTACCCAGCTCCCTGCCCCTGCAGAAGCAGAGAAGTCACATTGCACCAGCCCTGCATTTGTGCTGATCAGGAGAGGGGCTGGAGGGGGAAGGATGTGCAAGGCTGCTGGGTGAAGAGCCAGAGCAGCACTCCTGCTCAACACTTCTGTACGGAATGAAAAGAAGGAATTTTCTCTTGTATATTGAAGCCCTCCACTTACCTCTAATGCTGCAGCACTGCAGATGAAGGGTTTTCAATTGAAACAACCCATCTGAAAATCAGTGGGATTTATACATTAGCTTGAAATTCAGCAGGGGATTATAATCAGTGTGGAGCAGAAATCGATGAACATTTTTGTTGTCTCTGTATCAGAATCTCACCAGACCTGATGTCCCATGAGCCCAGAGAGGTGGCATGGTGTTATCCAGCAGGTAAGCCCAGCAGGCCTGTGGTGTCACATAGTTACTTCTTTTCCTCCTCTGACCTTTGTCACAATAGCTGAGGATATCTAGCAGAGTTTTATAACCGATGCATTTTTCCACTCTTTGGCAGCAGTGTAAAGCACTGAATACTTGAGACAAGGGAAAATATACCCCAAACCTAATCCCCAGAACATATGTGCCTTGTCAGTAATTTAAGGGCTAAATGCTGGGTCCTTCCTCTGAGGTAACCTAAGGGAAATCTGTCTTTCTCAGTATCTCTGAATCTTATCCTTCACGAGCAGCAGTCAGACCAGAGTGTGAATGTGCTAACTGAGACATGACAAACCCATGTAACACCTCTTGCTGATACTCTGTTATTCTGTGGTTAAGGCTCTTGAGGATTTTTGAAAGGAAGTTTATTTTTGCAAGCTGCTGAACGCTGACTATGACATGGGGCAGCTTTCACTTAGACAAATGTCTTAACTTTGGTTAAGGCTCTTGGACAGACAGGCTATTAATAGGGCATTTACAAGGAAAGCTGTGTAGATACACTTGGCTTGGACTATTCAGTGAAAGTACATGTTGTAGGTTTTAACAAAAAATGGATGGCTATGGTTCGGCACAAAAAGAGAAAGCTTTTCATCTTGGCAGACACTACCTCTTCCTTTATTTTTTGCCAAACTATTTCAGAGGTCCTGAACAATGCTCCTTATTGATTATTGCTACCTAAAACACAGGGCCTGGTATCCAGCATGAAAAATCAGTTTTATGCAGTATAAATCTATCTCTGCCACTTACATGAAATGGATGATTCTGAAAAAGTCGGCAACCATATAATGAAAACATACATTATGATACAATGTGTCACACAGCACTGAAAATTAATCCTGCTGCTAAAGAAATGGAAAATGCACAATAAACACATTACCTGAAATTAAAACTGGTTCTGACCAAATCTCCAGAGCCTTTAAAGTTGTAACAATGATTTCCTATTTATATGGACTGCGCGAATTCTCAGGTGATTCCCTGTGGAGATCTGTATGAATACTTTTTCCAGAGCTGAGGAAAGGAAAATAGGTAGCTATAATGGAGCTGCAGGAGCAGCCAAGCTGTAGATTGATTCAACAGGAGAAATTCAATGTATCCCAAAGGATTTCCTAGGATTTGCTCTCCTGCTGCTTAGGGCACAATTTGTTGTAATGAGAAACTGAGGATTTTGTTTCAGGTGTGTCAAAGCTTGTAGCAATGACTTGAAGGTATAAAGAAAAAGAAACAACTGAAAATCTCTTAAATAATGCTTTTGGGCGAGGAGAGAATAGCGACAAGCTCTCCAAGGTGAAAAAAGGTCAAATATCTCATGTAAATAATTATTACCTTAAGAGATGCTAATTGGATGCACAGTCGAATCCTTCATCTCCAAACTGCTGCATGAAACAGCTTGAAAACTATGGTACATTTCAGCAAGCAAAACAGAGAAAGCTTCATTAAATTATCTGGTAAGATTGCACTTGGTCTCACTGTAATCTCTGCTCTCAGAAATGTCTGCAGAAAAAAAATGCTCAGTTTTCAGTTGTAAAGAACTGAGTTAACAACTTATAAAAAACCCAACCCAAAGCAACTGAGGTTTGGGGTTTTTTTATTGAATAGGGGAACATTTAAACACGCAGACTACTCTGTTCATCTGAAGTGTGCCACAAGGTAGAACACTGGCAGGAAGCATGTACTGCTGCAGTACTACATAAACCTGTAAAAAAAGGTTAAGTGGGATGCCTACAATGTGAATTTCACCCTGAAGAAATGTGAAAATTTTTAGGTACTCATGTCCTCCTCTATGAAAATGAATAGTCATTATCAACACAGAGTTACTCCACAGTTGTGATGTATCACAGCCTATGTAGGTTTTATCAACAATCACTTTTTAGTGAAAGCTCTGAAACACTATGTTCCTCAAGTGAAGCCCTGAGTTTTTTTCAGAAACAGGCTGCCATATGGGATTTCCTCAGGCAAAACACTGAATGCTGATGGCATCTCCATTTGATTAAGGAAAATATGTAGCATCTGAAATGTTCATATTCACAGCAGAGCATATTGTTCAGCTCTAGCATACCCCTCACGCTTCTCAACATCACACATGATATTGAAACATCACGTGGTGCACCAACAGAGAAGAAATGGGTGCTCTAAAAAGTACCTTCCTGAGAATGAGCATTCATGTGTGAATGACATTGCACCTGGACACTCAGCACAGGCTTACACTTAGTTACAAACAATGCAACTATTCAGAACCCAAAGATGTGAGTATTCTAAAGCTTTTAGCACACTGACCAAAGCAGAAGCACCTACCCTTTCTCTACTCGATGACCAAAGTTGCTTTACAGCTCCAGGCTCCAATCAACTTAAAGCCTTATCACATTACATATGAACTCCTAGACTGTCCTTCCTTATCAACAAAAGACCATCAGACTCAAACTCTCCCAGCACATAGCACAGCAACAAGTACTGATCAGGAGAGAAGAAAAGCAAGTACTTCACCACCTTGATCTCTTCCCCAAAATAAGCACCAGGAGCTTTTTAATTTCCAGTCGATATTGCATTTTGCAAGAATTTTATTCTTTCTGTAAAATCTATGTATAGAGTATATGGAGAATACACATTATTTCAACCAGCCACCTGTCCCTCACTTTTGCCCTGTCTCAGCATAAAACACTGATACGCTCACGTCACTGGAGCCTGAAACAGAAAGTCAGTTTCTGATCAGGGACGGGGCAGCATCTGAACCCGTGAAAAAGCAAGGAGATAATAATCAGTTATTATTATTATTATAGTTCCTGTTATCCTTTAATTTGCTTTCAGCCTGACTGTGAAAGCAGAACGAGCATCCTGGCTCATTCACTAACCTAGAAATCAGTGCAAGATACACGCAAGAAATAAAAACAGTAAGGAGCATCAAGATGAAGCACAGTCTTCACTTTTAATGAGACAGCCAGCTCTCCCCTATCTTTGGAGCCAGCTGAACCAATTACATCCCTTACCTGTATGGTTCCAGAGTCCTGCTGCCATAATACAATGCTTCTTCCCAGGATTCAAGGTTAATACAGGCATCCATGGCACAGTCAAGCATTTTCAGCTGATAGATATTTGTATCTGGTAGATGACCCTCGTTGTTGCTCAAGAGATTCTGGCACCTTGCCAGAACATGCTTCCACTCTGTTATTGGCCTTAGTTAAAGAAATATATTTATTCAGGCAAAAACACAATTTCTAAGTGTTGTTTAGCAAGGAGTAAGAGTCTCAAAGCATTAAAATAGAAAAGCTGACATCATTCCAGACTCTGCTATAATTCTTGAAAACATACTTAAATGCTGAAGTGGCAGCTTAGGTAACTGTGCTTCATTTACATGTAGCAAAACAATTTCTAAAGAAGGCAGTATTTTAGCAATAAATGGTAAAAGAAAGATGAAAAATGGCAAGGATATTTAAATACATAACAAAAATACAAATAACTTTTATTTAGGTACTAAAACATTATTTACTTAAGATACTCCAGTTCTTAAAGCCAAAGGCAAGAGTCCATGGAAATTTCTTTTAAAAAGTCCCAGCAGCTAAAATTTTTTTTTTAAATTATATATATATTTATATAAAATAATGACATTCTTTTATGCTGCACATTTTTTAGCATTCTCGTGAAATTAGAACCTTTTCTTGAAATTAATTAATTTTCTCCTTGAAACACTCATGAAGAGCGTTATGATTTTTTTTCATGTACAGCTGCACATTTCATGCATGAGAAAGAAAAGAATCACAGTTTTGATGTCTGACTGTAGTTCAGGACTAATGATCTTGGCAGTAAAAGAGATTTTCACCTCCAATGCTGCAAGATTTTTTGTGAGGTTGGAATACCAACATCCTCCTTTTGTGAGGAAAGATAACCTTGCACTCACTTTATTTTGATATTCCTTAGCACAAATCACTTTTTTTCAGTACATTTTACACTGATTTGACTTCTCTGTGGATCAGATTCTTCTCTCTCTGATGACACCTAATCTGAACCCCAAAACTAAATGAGTATTACCACCTGTGATTGTACCCATGGGAGTCCCAGAATGCAAGCAGTCTTAACACCAAAAAGATACTACTCACATAAGTAAGAAAAATGAAATAAAGAAAGAAAATTAGACTTACAGCAAGAGAAGTGATAACATTGATTGTATTATAGCCCTCTCCACACAATCAGCTCAAAGAAGTCCAGCAGTTATCTTCACAAATTATTGCAAGTACTATTCACACTAATCCAGCAATGAATTTAAAGTGTACAATGACAAACCTGTGATGAAGTAATTAGTCCATCTTGAACATGGGAATATTTACATACTTAAATTTAAGAATGTGACCCCCATGGTCCAGGATTTATAGCATGGTTGTTACAAGGCTAAACTAATTATTTGTGAATTGCTCTCATGCCCTTGGATTGAAAGGGCCATATAAGGGAAGGAATGTGTTATTATAAAATTGCACCTTAACCTTTATATCTTTGGCAAACATCCATCTATTCTTTACAACTGACTAAGGACAAAAACCAGAAGAATGAGGGATGTTATTTCCACTTGATACAATTTTTTGTAGAAAGTACAAACCACTGACATTCTTGAAAGATTACCATTTTAGCTGGTGCACAGTATGTCTGCTTTTACTTCTCATTATTCTGCTTTGTGCACTCACCAGCATCTGATAATAGATGACAACAAAATTTCTTGGGACCAAATTTTCAGGTAAGTAAAATTGCAAACTAGAAAACCTGCCATCAGCTGCAACAGTACCAAAGAGCTACATGTCCTGCATCTGCCCAGGAGCAGAGGAGGACTGTCCCAAGCAGCTCTAACTGTAAATTTAGCATTTTAACACCGTATTAGTTACAGTCACAGTGTGGGAGTCACCAACTTTCTCAGCTGTAGAAAGTGTTGGTTTAATTAGTTTAAAAAATGGCATTTGCAGGAGCTAATAACTACATGCCTCAATCTGCCAGGAAGGTTTTCTACTCATTATTGGCAAGTGGACAAAAGTCAAGTTCCCTCTCCAATACTGCACTCGCCACTGCATGTCAGTTAACATGGGTATTGTGGTGCAGTGCAAGGAAAGATGACACATTTCAAATAGTGCATGACTGAGAACAGAAGCTGAACAGACAACAATAGATTTTTCCAGCCAGTCCTGATGCCTTTTATTACCACGCATTTGATTAATTTTTAAGTATCAGTTAAATCAGTAATCTTAATTAAAGACACTCGCAAAATACATGAATGCAATTTCTCCTGCAATTTAATACAGGAACATTAAATAGGACCAGTATTCTGACTACACAGTTTAAATATAAGAACTATTGCACCTTCAGGTTGCATATCTATAATTTAACATGCAGGTTGAAACGTGGGCCCTGAAGATCTATTTCAGTACTGTCTGTTTCAATCCAGTGACTACAGAGGAACTTAAAACAAACTAGAAACTATGTGAGATTAAAACAAGGTGAGATGATTGTTTCCACTTTGCTAAAAAAAAATAATCTCTCTGGATTAGAAAAAAACAAACTCAGTGTAATGGATTGGGTTTTTTGTTACTGTATAAATTGTGATCACTTGTTTCCAGCCTGGAATATCACTATGCAAACTTGTTTTTTGTGCTGCCAAAAAGGAGTACTGGAAGATTAAATTCTTTCTAGCTTGAGAGAAAGCCCATGTTTCTGAAAATGGTAAGGCGTCTTGCCACAATAGACCAAATTCCCAGTCAGCGAAATTCCACTGAATAGACCAAGATAAGAAAGAGATGAATAAACTCATAGTATTCTAGTAAAAATCTCCACAACTCTTCTGCTCATCTTTTCTTGGTTGCTGCTGTTCACTAATTTCTTTAATTGGATTGAATATCTACATGACAGCCATTAGACTCCAGTTCTGTTTATTAGTGCAAGATCATTTCATTCAATTTGCTTAATTACCAATTATTATTATATATTATTATATCTTATTATAATGATGCTGTAATGTCTGCTGTGAACCTGTCTGTGATTATTTCCTTGTTATTGTCATTGCTGTGCAAAGAATGAGAACCTGTAAATGTTCACGCTGAGAGTAACGGAACAAAGAATTTAACCACATTCCAAATTAAGCTGTCTTTCATTTAGAAGTGGATTTATATAAAATCCACTTCATTTAGAAGTGGACTGTGATAGCTGAAATCCAAATCAGAGCCAAAATATCCCTTCATGTCCTTGGTAGTTACTATCTCTGCCACAAAGTAGTCCCATTCCAAGTAATGAGAGACTCTATTATTAATACAATTAAGAATTTTACACATTATAAACATAAAATGAATTTAAAACATTACAAGAATGTAAAAAGATACACATAAAACATAAACATAAGAATGTAATTGTAAGGAAACTAATCTCAAGAGATGAATTGCATACTAGAGGGATCTTTTCACAACTGAATGACAGACTGTAGCCTGTAATTGAAAGGATACCTTCTTTTGATTTTGGATATCTCACTTCATTTACAGCATCTTTGACTTCTTTCCAGGCATGCTCTTCACCAGCCAATTTCTCAGCATCCTGGATAATGGAAACAAATGCATATAATGAGAAAAACAGTAAAATGACAATATGCAGTAATGATGAAAAAACAGGGTAAAAGGATTTAACTGTTAAAAGCTACTTGTAGAAACCGTATTGCTGTTTTTTATAAACACAAAAATCCCATTTCATCTGGAATTCATACTCACCCTGTTTTGTAAGCAAATGAGATGATATAGAGAAAAATGAATGCAAACTTGGAAACATCAAACACCCAAATCAGATATTAAGTTTGCAACAAGAACTATGATCAACCAGAAGAAAAGGAATAATAGCATGTTTTTACTATCAAAATGCATTGAGGAGATCAAATTCTTTAAAGACCTGCTACCTAAGACTTCCCTTAAGTACACTGTAGAAAGGATTTAGCAAATAATTTTGCTTAATCATGTGGTGATTACAGAGACAAACAGTGAGAGTTTAGCTTCATCCATTACAGTTAAAAACATGAGGTTCCAGGAGAAGTCTACAACTCAGAAAAAAGCTGAACTATCATTTAAATCATTACTATTTCTTCCTTAGTCCATTGGGTTCTACAAACAGCTACATTTTCCTATTGCTTTCTCAAAAAGAAAGCAAAAATGATTAATGGCTGCAGCAGTAAAGAGAATGTTTCCCATTTCAACTCTCTACCAGTGACCAACTGAACCTTAGGCAAACCACTAGGAACAAGTGCATTAAAGCATCTACAGACACAGTTAAGTGTCTTGTGGGATTTACAAAAGCATCTAGTGCTTCAATTTGCATTGCCATAGAACTAAAATACCTTTAAAAATCTGGCCTGTAATACACTGCAGTTTATTACCACTCTCTCCTTATAAAAGGCCCTGCTACTTTGAATAAGAGGTTTTTAAAGTACAAAGTCTTGCAGGAATATTTTAAATTCATTTCTAAAAAGATCAGCCTTCAGCAGGTGTAGAGGCCTGCAGAGGAACAGAGAAAGTGTGTTAAAATCATACCAAGCACTTTGCAACCAAGAGATGCTCACCAGGAATCACAGAAGTACCTCCACTGAAAAGCCCATCATCTGTAACTGCGTAGAATTGCATAATTTTCTTATTCCACTGCTCCTCATTTGCCATAAATTCAGAAAAAAATTTACAGTGAGAATCAGCACTCATTTTCACATTTAATTTGCCGTTTTGTCTTTCCATCTGCTTCATGAAACAGCAGACCTCTGTGGATTCCTGGGATGATTAAATCAAGATTAAATCAAGGTTGTTCTCAGCTGCCCTACCTTCCTGAGAAGAGCCTTACAAGGAAGGTGGCATGACCCCACTGCATTTTGAACATAATCTTCCCCTACAATCAGTTCTCTGAACAAAATTTCTCTGGAAATAATTTTGTGCAGAGCTGAATTTGCCACCAGAAGGCATAAGGTGAATGTTAGGACAAACCTGCTCATACCACAGAAATTTTATCAACACAGTGCACAAACCTGCCCAGCCCTCTTCCAGCTTTGCAGCAGATGGACACTGAATCTCTTATTGCCAATGCAACCTCTACTGATTTTTGTGGGTCTACATCTACTTCTGAACACAGGTGGTTAATCTGAAACCATCCCTAAAATGCTTTCATGGACCAAGTGCTGCTCATTGACTGATCTAAAAAATAAATCCAGCCTATAAGATATCAATAATGACATCTGTGAAATCTTCCATTTAAGGAGCTACCAAACAAGAAAAATTGTTTTAAGTTATCTTTTCTCACTAGCCCAAGTATCATTCAGAGTGTATCTCTAACATGTTGTAAGCCTAGAAACTAAAACCTCAGAAGCATGGGAACTGAGAGAGATTTATAAGTGAAAGAAGGAAAACAACTATGCAGTAAGGCCAAAGACTTAGGGCTCAATTTGCACGTAGCAAGACTGATGGATGAATGACTAAAGTGTTCACTCAGATGGGACTAACCTTTCTCTGTTTAGTGCAGCTTTTTGAGTTACTGTTGTCTTCTAGCATTTAATTAGCAGCATAAAGCAGGGCAAGGTTGGGGGTTCCAACCTTCACTCTAGCACATAGGGTTAAGTCAACACTGGCTTCATATCCAGGTAGAGAATAGAGACTCTCTGTTGGACCAATAATCCCCAGCCCTCTCTGGATTCATGGTCTTTATCCTTTCTGTATGAGAGTTAGTTTAGGATGGAGGGATCTGGGCAGGATGCCCAGCTCTGGGAAAGATTTAAGTCACAGGTTTCAATGAGATGTTTTCTGTGCTCTCAAGATGAGGCATTTTAGGGATCAACTGACATAAGAACAAGAAAAGATATGGCTAGCTTGGCATTTTACACTCCTACTGTTCTTCATCAGATTTCCACATATGAAAGAAGTCCTGTCCTTTCCCAAATGCTCTAGTTCAAGGTATGGAGGCTGTTTCCAAACAGGCAGCCAAGCAAGGGCTGCAAAACAACAAGGAGAGGCTGTCACTGGGAACACTGCCTTCCAGACTAATAAGCTTTCTCCAGGTAAGTTGTTTCTCTCCCTTGAACAGCACCTTGAAAGTCATGGCCATGTGATATGATTAAGCCAGTTAAAAACACAAAGATGCCTTGGAGTTGGAATTATGACAATTGACATGATTAAAATTATACTGAATTTTTTAATTCAATCTAAGAGCAGGCAATAACAGCTACGGGAGATACAGCTTTCCACGGAGTAACGTCCTTTCAAATATCTCTTTTAAGATCAAGTTCCCAGTCAAATCTCCAGGTGTGCAGATCTGCCAACAAAAGGATGGACTTTTTTCATTTATACAAAAGAACACCAGCTGAAGAAAAAAAAAAGAGGCTTTTGAAAAAGAAGGAAGAGCTGGCAATTTCTGCCTAATTATTTTCCTTATTTCTAACTCTGACACTAAACACAAGAGTTTGCTTCTCAGAACAACAAAATATTTTTCTCTTGGTCCAAAAAATAATTAGACCAGATAATCTAGTCACAAAGTATTAACGAAAGAGAGAGAAACAAGAAAACTTGAGGGTATCTGATGAGGACTGTAATCTGTTTGAAGACTGGTCAAATATAAAATGATCTGCAGTTCTAGCTTTAAGTGATAGGAAGTTTTATTATAAAACTGAAACAAGTACAGACATCAGACACCACAGAAATAAGCATCTGAAAATAATCACCTGTTCCATTCTCTGGTATTTCTATCTAAAAATTACTTCTCTATCTTTTCTGCTATTTGAGTGTCCTGAACACATTCCATCCTTAATGGAACTGTCCTTAGAAAGGAGTGTAATCTACAAAGTATAGATAAATGCTTCTCTTTCCTTCCTGTTCCTTCACAGCACTCCTCTTTCCCCAGTTACTCATCTGTTTCTTATACTTCCTGAAAGAGCTCCCTGCCTATTAATTTCAGGCACCGCTTCTTTTACACACAGTGTTAGCAATCACTGTTCTTTGTAATCCCAGCATTGAAAATCCGGATTGCTAAAAGATTCCCACATGGACAGCACGTCCTCTGAGAGAAGATATTTCTCTTACCAAAAAAAGCACATGCTAACCAGTGAGCACCATTGCCCTCTTCCCAAAAGCGCTCCCACAGCCCCACCACTGCTTGTCTGTAAGGCACTGCACCTCCAAAACTCTCCTGACCATTAGAAAGATTTATTAAGGACTAATTCTCCTTTCACATTTAGGTTACAGTATAGTTATAAGACATGGATTTTCGGTCCTCTCTACAAAGCTCATCTTTCTCCTTCTTATAGGTGGAGGTAGAGAAACAAGCCCAACATTGTCCACAGAGAGGAAACCATGAAGCACTCCTCACCTGCCTTCAGAGAAGGGAGAAGTGGCAACTGGAAAATCCAAAAGGTAAATAACCCCTACACCTCTTTGTCTCCTTCCCAGCATTCCTCCTGTTTTAAGTATGTCCAATGGCATCTTCATTATATGCCTGTTTTCAGTATTCAGGTAGCCAGTCCCACACAGGCAGAAATAAGAAAAGCTTTGTAGGAGGTATTGGACTCCCAGGTTGCCCTGAGACAAGTAAAAAGAAGGACTAAAGTTTTCCCTGACCAGTATCTGTTCTTCTAAATATACAAATGGATTAAAAGAGTGCAATGTAACCAGCAAATGTCAGTTTTACAAAGGATAAAAACATATAAACCATGGTTCAAACAGAAATTAGGAGTCTAACAAGATATATGATTGGATATGATATTTTTGCAAGACTGAAAAATCACAGTAAATAACAATATTTTTTTCTGAACACAAAATCTATTTCTACATAATCATCATCATCATAATTCTGTGTGACAGCAGCAGACAACCCTATTCTCTCTTTTTTGTAGAATTTTTAAGTTTTCTGAGCTGTAATACTTTAACACTTTAAAAGCTGTAGATAACTCAAATACCTAACCATTTAATAGAAATTGCTGTCCATTGCATATGATTTGCTTAATTTTAAAAAATTTCTAAGTATTTAAGCAACTACAGATGTGCATCTGAACAGAACAGAGGAGCTCATACACATTTAAATTAGGGCATGATATTTTAGAACAGATCTCTGATACATTGTACTCTGAAAGCATAAATAATGATTTTCTATTTCTGATTCTGTTTTAAAGTGCAGGAGCTACTGCATGTTTGTTTCCAGTAAACTCAGTAACTCACTGTTTTGTGATAGACAGCAAAGAAAAGCATTAAATGAGTAAAGGCACTGCACATCTTCTGAAGTTTCCCTTTCAGAAAGATGAAGAAAAGTGTCAGTTGGAAAATGTGATACACAAGCTGTGATATTGCAGCTACACTAAATTTCTGACATGAATTCTTCAGAGCAAAAAGGGCATGAGGGCCTGCCAGGCAATCACAGGTGCAGGCAGCTACAGACACAGCAAAAGAAAAAGCACACTTGAGTGCTTCCTCAAAATAGCTGAGGTCATCTGCTATGAAACATTTTCTGGATAAAGTTTAAACTCAGAATCAAAGACTTTTCATCTCTTATTCTGAGGGCTGTGGTGTATAGAAGCCTGCATCTTCAGC